TTTATAAGTTCTCTATTTGAAAAATAAAACAAGTTCCTTTAGGGCTTTCACCAATGCTTTAAAACATAAAAGTTGTAGCAACAAACCAAACACATACAAAGGGTAAAATGAGTTGAGAAAACTAACTTGCTCTGGCATGAGAGGGAAGGCTTTGTCCCCGATGGTGAATGAAATCGGCGGCATGGATCCGATTTTCTTGCAGTCGACAAACGATTTTTGCCCCGGGTTTGGAAGTTTCTCACATAGCTTGAACAAGACTATGATCAGTCACAGATTACACAGATTCACCTGGACATTTAAAGTGAAACATTATCAATATGTTACCTTATTCATAAAATTGAGTACTATTTCCTTTGCTTTCCGTTCTCTTATTTGCACTTGTAAGTAGATTACTGCCATCTCACAGAAACTACAGTATGCAGTGTTGTTGACAGTTGATGAGTTCTCCTCGTATTCACCATCGACAACTGTATGAATTCCGTCGCTGCATGAGTTCCAAGGACTTGGTTAGAATTCAACAGAGTGAACACAATTGATTATATAAGATGTAACAAGGCAATCGCGACAATAACCTCATATAACTCGTGTTGTTGTTGTACAAACATAAGCCGACTGCTGTACAAACTCTTTCAGGTTCTAACTGGAGATGAGTGAAAAGAATGTGACTAAGTTTCTCAAATATACAAGAGAGAAGAAACTAGCAGATATCGAGTAAAAATCAAATAAACGCCGGACAAACCCCTGATATTAGATGATCCCATATTTGAGACCCGTAGTTTGAAACAACAGTTTTACATTCCAAGCTGACTATTCCTTCTGCTCCAATTGCATGATTAATTTCTGCGATGATCATCTGACATAGATATCAACTGGTTAAGAACTGCCTAAGTTATTATCAAAACAGTCGCGAAATTTCAAGTCTATAAAGCATACTGTTGGACCAGCAAGTAAGGATGTTCCAGAATCGATTATAGCAGCACAGCCCTCCGAACAGTGACCTGTATATTGTAAGGAAATGACAGTCTCAGCAAAATCCAAAGGCGGATTAAGTGAAGTTTATTGAGAGACGGAGGGAGTATATGATTCCGGCCCTCTTCTTACATATCATTGTAATAATTGTATAAAACCATGAACGTAAATTAGCTAAATATGCAGCTGGTTAATGTACCTGTTGAACTGTTTGCTATGTCAAGACCATTAAACTTGATCTGTTAAGACAATAACAAAGATCATGGTTGAAGTATCATGAAAAAAGAACAAAACAAGATATCAACATTCATAACCTAAATTATAAATACCTGCCAATATTCACTATTAGCCATTGGTACATAAATATGATCACCCCTGTGACGTCTCCAGTTAATACCACCGAAAACAATTTCACCCCCAACTTCGGTACTAAGTGGGTTGTGATTAAGCCATAGAGAAAAGATTTGCTGGTTCACAAGTTTCTGCTGTATCATATTGTACCTAGTAAAAAGAATGACAGATCACTGTTATGATAATGCAACAACAAGGAAGCAGAAGATATGTACAACAGGTGAACAGGAGCAGAGATCATCAGAGGCAAAAAAGCTAATTCAGCATCTATGGGCATTTTAAGTTGCATTCTACGCGCCAATCAGATAGTTATTACAGTAGCTGCAATAAGGGCTTGATTAGTTTAAGTGCTTCTACAAATTTAACAATCTGTCTCTCTGGTCTAACTTGATACGAATTAATAGCCTGATAGGTTGACACGAACCAACACGAGAACTACAAATTTTGCTCCGTTGGAATTGAACTTGAAAATGAAAATAAAGTGGCAGTAAAACATACAGAGTTCTTCCAAAGTTTATAAAGGGAGTACAGTAGGAAGGTCATTAGGATGAGCTTAGTTCTAGTGAGCAGTGACCACAACACTCCACAGGTTTGTCAACCAATTGAACAATTGAAGCAAGTTATTATGGGTTTCCTTACTCGTTTAATTTTGACCTGAACACAAACCTGACATGACCAGACCATTTTTGAGCTCTACGAAACTTCATTTATATACAAGCTGGAATGTCGAATAGATGAAACTAAGGCGATCATTGTGTATCAGGAAAGGAAAAGGAATAAAGTACATACAGAATGCGAATAATATGTACCATAATGGTGCCTCTGACCCAACAGATATATCCTGTAATCCTAAGCCAAGCACCCCATCAAACTTCATAAAAATTAGATCTATTGATTTTTCTGCCAATGCTTCGACAAACACCTGAAAGACATAGGCAAAAGTTGAGAAGAAGCAGCATTGAAATTTGTGGTTAGCTATACACCCCACCATAAAAAAAAAATAATAAAAAAAAAATGGAAAAAGAAAAAGAAACAACAAACCTGATCTTTGACAATAAGACCACCAACATCGACATTATCCTGGCTATAGATGCCCGCTATATATCCAGAGCCATACGGTATCTTGTAAGGTATGCCTGTTGAAAATCAAATAAGCAGCTCAGCACACTTGGCGCTTCCTTGGGATATATAGACGATGCTTTCAATTATCTTACAACTTTTTTTTTTTTTTTTGACAAGAGCTAGCTTACAACTTATAAGTGAAAGGATGTTTTAATTGTTTAGAAAATACAATGCTTTCATAACTATCCAGTTCTCCATTCGTTTTAAGTAATTCCTCGTGACAAGAAGTTGTAAGCTAGGTGAAAAATAGCCTCACCAAACACTATGCAACAAAAGTTCTTGGCATCAAAAAACATGAGTACTTACCAATCTTGGTGTATGTTCTTGATATCCTTGAGCTGTAACTGGAGTGAAAGTAGCAAGCAATCTGCTCGTAAACACAAAAGATGTAATATAAACACTCTGATTGCTGATGTTAAGTAAAACCAATTACATGTAAAGCAACTATAGCACAAACTCACCGAAAAGAAACATTTAGTAGACGGAACCCAAAGTTTTGAGCTACCAGTATCAAAGACCACATTGAACTTCTGAGGAGGGGTGCCTATGCTAATCTCACCATAATATTGAGTATCCATGAAGTTCTTCAAATATACAATGGCTGAATCTAAATCCTTATGATTACGTCTAACATTTATGCCTGAAGCAGTCACTCTTTCCAGGTCTAATTCCCACTTCTTTAGCTCAATGCTAATCCATTCGTTAGATTTTTCAACGAGAGAAGAAGACAATGTCCAAGAGCAAAACCATATGACCATGAACGTAAGACATAGTTTCCTTCCCATCTTCTGATTTTTCACTAAATACTCGAGTTGTACCTTTTAAATTACCTATCTCAAACCGAGTACAGGAAAAACAGTCTTTCATTAGCTCTTCTGGTTCAAGTGAATATATAAGATCATATTATAAACAGATATGATGCACAAAAACTCTCATAAAGCTCATGATTATCGCGAAGAAAACTCAAGGGTATTGTCTTCTTCATATGACTTGGAAGTTCTTCCTACTTGACCCTTGCGGATCTTGAAATCCCGAAATGAGCTTTCTATACTACTGCTCCCTATAAACATACCCAAACTAACTACTGTACGACACATTGTTTGCATTTTAAGATTACTCAATAAGGTTTTACATCTTCAAGCGAAAAAAGTTGATTTGTTGTATTAGTGTTTCCACATTTCCTATTTGTTTACATGAAAGTTTGTCTAAGTGTTTCCTTATCTCTCCATTTCTACAACTTCTTTTCGCATTTCCATTTCCATGCAAGTATGCAACATTGTAAGACACTATCATATCGATGATCTTACAACGCTCTAAGGGGATCAAATGTACTCTAGAAACCGGAAACTCAGTAAGATGTTTGATTAAGAAAATAAACTTGCCTGATAGTAGTAAGTAGTAACACAAATATAATAAGATATAGGCCATATAGAGTATAAGTGTATAACACATAAACACTTTTCTTTTTAGGCTTGAACGGAAAGTTTTTCACTAGTATAAAGCCATACGACATTTACAACCAAAGTTCTCCCTAAACAAGAATTAAACAAATTCCTACATATATATGTTTCAACAAAAAAAAAACAAAAAAAAAAAAAACACAAATTCCTACATATATAGCTCTAATTTACAGTAAGTAAAAAAAAAAAAAAGCATTACTTCATTGCATACCTGTACCCAAAAGCTTGTAAGTTGAAAGAGTGAGACCAAGTAAAAATGAAAGCTTAAAACTATTTATACTTATAATTATATTTTGTTGTATTGCTTATCTAATTGAAGATTGAAGCTGAAGCTTGAAGTGGGAAATAACAAGGAAATTTCCTTGGTGGACTTTCATAACATAACAGTATGAAAAACTCCAAGCTAGAATTTTGTCAGAATCATTGAGCATTTTGGATTTCTGGGTTTCAGCTGTTGCTGTCGTCCTGGTGGCTCGATGACTAATTATCCATTTCATGCCAGCTCCGAAATGGTTATATTGACCTTACCGGAGATAAGAGTACTTTCCGTATCTCCCTATCAGTTCATTCACGATGTTTGGATCCACTTCAACGTGACCACTATCAGTTTAGTTGCATTGTTTGGATCCGGTTCAACTCAGGATACGTTAGGTGACGAGTCATTCAATTTGAATATTGTTCGTAAAAGCAATTGATGGTCATACTGTATTATGGTGTGATCAAATCAATTTAGTTTAGGCCGGGTTACTTGTGTTAAAGTAGTCATGTATTCAAATGAAACATGGAATTACAATAAGTTTATTATTGACGAAGTATTATAATCAGTTCTTCTTTAAAGAACCATAAGGGCAAACGAAGCATCAACAATTTTCTAATACAAATAGAAAGAAGAATGAGGCACAATACTTTGAATATCAACGAGTTTAGTTAGTTAAAGTCTTAGGACTCAAGAGTGGTATCCAAAACCTAATCGATCCATTCAAACTCATCCTTCAACCATGCTTTGTCAAACTAAGTGCCTTCCTATAAGCATATATCACAATCAAATTTGAAATAAAGAACACGTTTTTCTTTAAAGACAAAATTATACGAAGTATCTTTTAGATCTTGCAAGAAAATTGTCATATAGGTTGATTTCCATGTATTCTTCTCACAAGTGCCAAAATTTTGATAATGAAAGTCTTAACATAATTTAACAAAAATTCTGATGCATGTTTGCAGATCGAATATCTCCTTGTAATACAAATAGTGAAATATAATACTGTTAGACAACATCTTGCTTAACTCACAGCATTATCTACAGGTCTCCGTTTCCTCCAATACCAACAGTAAAGGAACACTCTCTTGACCAGGCCAGTCACCCGTTGCCTACTTCCCACCCTTGGCATAGCTGTCTCTTAATGTGACTGTGCGATTAAATACCAGTTTCTCCGGAGTAGAGTCCTTGTCTACAGCAAAGTAACCTAAACCAAAAATAGCAAAAAAAAAAAACAAAAAAAAAAAACAATCAGATGATGCAAGAAAAGTATTGCTTTGGAGGAGTCAACTCCTTTTTGTAAAGAGAGTTTATTTGAAAGATAATTATAATGAGATCATGAACACAAAATCATGCTTTTACAACGTAATTATTATTATATTAGTTTTTCGGCCCGGGCGATGCCCCGAGTTACTGCATTAATTTCATGATTGAAATCATTATTTATATTTAACTTTAATAGAATGACATATAATATGGTAATAGCTTAGTGGCTAACATTATATTTTTAAAACTAAAGGTCGTGGGTTCAAATCTTGTACAAGTCATATTTTTAAGCACAGACTTGATTGATTGAGAAAGGTGCCATGTGACATCTAAACTTCTTTAGAAACGCCTTTTAATATATAGCATAGATGAGTGTACAATGTTTGAGCTAGAATTGGGAGATCGGGAAGTCAATGAGCATACCTAAACGTTCAAACTGAAATCTATCACTGAGTACAGCATTCCGGAGTGGAGGAACTGCATACGCCTCGGGTATTACAACTTTTGAGTTGGAGTTTAAATCACCAAGCCAATCATCAAGCTCAGCAGGATTCTGAACAATCAAAAATTAGAAAAGTATTGATTAACTGATTATTACTGGATATTTATTGTAAATGGAAAACAAGTTCCAGCTCTAACTACCTCAGAAGAGAAAAGTCTGTCAAACAGCCTGACTTCTACTTTAAGTGGACCAACATCCGGAGAAGGCTCAGCAACCCAATGGAGGACACCCTAGGAAAAAAAAAAGTAAATAAATCCTCAATTGTTAGAACAGAAATACCCATACATGCAACTATGTAAGTATTAACGAGAGCGCAAACCTTAGGTTTCATTTTCTTCTCAGGGTCATACTCCGCACGAATTTCAACAACCGTCTCATTGTCATCACCAACTATTACATCCGTGCACTTAATGGGAAACGCATATCTGCATATTGTGGATAGAATTTGACTAATTACTTTTAAGTTCCAAGGGAATAAAACTTTAGGATTTGTTTATACAAATCTAACCTCAGCAAGACAGATTTTCCTGGAGCAAGGCCATAATAATCTTTCGAGTCTTTCATCCGAAAATCAGACTTTTCAATATACACAACATTTGAAAACGGCACCTGAGATGAAGTCACCCACACTATTATTCAGGAATCTCCCAGTAATATGACACAAGTGTTGAAGGACAAAAAGCAACAATTGAAGCAACGGCTAAAAGAGGCTGTTTTTGCTTGCATTTATTTTAACATTCTTTTGCATAACAACTAAAGAAGTAAAATTGGTGCTGACCTTGTACAAGGCTGAAGCATCGTCTGATGGAGCATCTGGCCACCTCTTAGCATCAAGGTCAATAACTTTACCAGCTTCTAGATTGGTGATAACGACCTAAAATTAGGAGAGCCTATAAGACACACGAGACAGATACTTGGGCTTAGGAAAATGATTAAAGGAAATATTCCAGACCTTCAAAGGACACAGGACCACCATCGCACGAGCTGCAGTTTTATTTAGCTCTTCTCTGACATGATATTCAAAGCGATCTAAACGAATCAAACTACTATCACTGCAGCCAAAGAAAATGGGAGTTAAATAACACACAAACAGTCAATATCTACCTTCTATCTGATTGTCTCTCCCATTGTAGAGAGAAGCCCCCCCATGACAATCTACTTCCATTGTCAAGAACTAATACCTCCCTCACAACTATTAAGAAAAAGTATTCAATAATATATGAGAGACCAATATAATGCCAAAGTAATAGTATGCAATAACAAAATTTTCAATCAGTGAAAATATTAACATAATGACCTAGGGACAAAGCAAATGCACGCAGAGAAACAGCAAAAGTTTCACCTTCTAGTAATTCCTATACCCCTAACAAAGGCATTTATTGCTGTTGGCGAAACCCCCCTTCGGCGCAAACCAGAAAGTGTCATCAATCGAGGATCATCCCACCCATCAACATACTTCTCAGTAACAAGACAATTAAGCTGTAGAGCACATTGATATTAAACTAAGTCATGTTGCTGAAACACAGAGATTTTTTATATATTGAAGTTATTAGGAATTACTAAATTGAGAATGTTACTTTTCTCTTTGACATCACAGTATTCGTCACATTCAACCGCGAGTACTCCCATACATAAGGCATATACAGGCCAAGTGCATGCAATAACCAATAATATGAAGCCCGGCGTGTCTCAAATTCCAGTGTGCAGAGCTGCATCAAAAATTGAAGAAAGTAGAAATAATATGATTCAGATAATAACATAAGAGACAGAAAAGGATCAATATTATGTCCTGGGATGAATATGAAGAGGGTAAATCCCATATCAAAGCAATCCTGTCAAAATGATCAAAGAAATAATATTCCGTGAGCATGAAAATGTGATGAAAACGCTGGTTTTTCAGAATTATTGAACAGGACAGTTCCCAAAGAACTTAAAATATACATGTTGTCAATTACGACTAGATATTTCCACTTTAAAATTGTCTGCCTGCACAGTTAATCTGCTCTTCATGAGAAGACAATTTCCATAAACCTAGGATAATGGTTATTTATCCACGGACCCAGCATCTTTAGTAGCCCGAATTAAAGAAACCGTCAGTGGCAGAGATTTCTCCACTGATTGAAATATCTTTTGTCTTCATGAAAATGAAGTTTTAAACTTCAAACACATCATGATTTTTGGACAATTTCTTTATAAGTCTCCACGGGCAACTATTATTGCTCTGGGTTGGATATACCATCAAATGATGATTAAATTATGGAGTTCATTAATTCTACAGATAAAAATATAAACATTTTCCTGTCTAAGAAATCAGTCTTTGATCAGATTCAAGGCATACTTGTCATGCCACTCTCACTCGAACTGAAACATTCATGCCTTAAGATCTTGATTGAACCTAATAGCCCTTACATGGGTGATTAGCTTAGACTTACTCAAAGAAGTGCATTCACCGGAAAATCTATTCTTATATTTCAGAATTCCAACAAGTTTGGCTATGTAAATGAATGACATTAAGAAGGACACAATATCCCACTCCTTCTGCCTTTTTGTGGTATTTGGGAGAAGAATAAGGGAAGAAGCTACGGCAGCAACTCACGAACTTCATATTGGGGCAACAAGAGCATGCATTATGATCTTTTTCCGCTGTTAGTCTTTTATTAAGGGGTTGATTGAACTACGTTAGGCAAAAGTACCAGTTGCAAGCAGTCATAATGTAGCAATCCAGCAAGCATTTCATCTATAGTAGCTTTTCAATCCCCTTTAGTCCAAGAAGCAGAGAGTTGGCTCATTGCATACCTAAGTGGTATGAGTGTATGACGTACTTCTTCGTCGCTCACCACATGGCCTATAGGTCAAGGAACTACTCAACAGCACCAAAGAACCCTACTTCTTTCTGTCAAGCAGGCAGACTACCTTAAAGGCAGTTCCAAAGTTCCTACAATGGTCATTTTTTTAGTCTAACATCGGTAGCAGGAGACATAAGGACAGCTAAAGTCAAGCTTTTTGCATCTCTGTCCTCTCAACAGACTTCGATGGATTGATGCTAGCACGGAATGAATGAGAATTAAAGATAGTTAGGATTAAAAGAGTTTGCCTTGGACTCTATTAGACTATAACAGCTACCAGTAGTAATGACAATGTCGGACTGGTTAGCATTGGCCTTTGAAAGGTAAAGTGCATTAAAAGCCTAAAAACAGTAGAGGAAATTCCAATGGAAAAACACGGCTTCTCCAGATAAAGAATAATGAATCAATGATAGCTGGTAGGGGTGAAAATAAAACAGAAGTAGGCACAATTGAAGGGAAATTAAAGAGGTACACGTACACATAATGGTCCATGACCATCATGTTTGCTAGCATGAGCAAACCATCTTTGACTTTATCAAAGCAAAACATTCTCTAGCAAATTCTAAATTACATTAATATAATTTCAACAAATACTACTATACGTTCCACTAGTCAAGCAAATGTATTGACAATAAACAACTCAACAAGCTAATCCAGAAAGGGGGATAACCACAAATTCTTAAGTAGATAAGTACCCTTAGTCGGTATACCAGAAGTAAATAGCCAGAGAGAGAGAGAGAGAGAGCGTATAAACATATAAAAAATAAATAAAAAAAGTACTTACCGAATGAGTTACATTTTCAAGAGAATCTACAACGCAGTGTGCAAAATCGTAGCTAGGGTAAATACACCACTTATCTCCTGCTTTAGGATGAGGAGTAAACTGCACGAACCCCATAAGAAAAAATAAACGAATCAAATACAGAAGGTAGGTTGAGGGAATATTATTTCACATAAGTATCACTATAAATAGTATAAAAGTCAAGTAACAATTAGTCAGGTATGTGTACAGAAACTACATAGCACTTGCCTTGATACGATATGCAATAAGATCATACATATTACAATTGTCATTTTGCATATCTTGCTTCATTCTTAGCGTTGCTTTTCCTTCCTCAATCATTCCCCTTCTCATTTCCTCAAAAAGTTTTAATGATTCTTCTACTGGTCTATCTCTCCAAGGACTATTTAACTTTTTTTCTCTGTACTCCTTTACTTCATCAGCAGTCTGCAATCCAACACTTCGTAAGGGAAATAGATACTACCTCCGTTCTTGAAAGTTCTTTATAGTTGCTATTTGCACACAAATTAATGCAATAGGTGATTGAGTGTTGATGTGGTGAGTGAGTGAAGGAAAAAAAAAAGTGCATAAGTAGGACAGAGAGTGTAAAAAAGGGGGTGGGAGTAAGAAAAAGGTGAAAAAAGCAAAAGAGAGATAGTAAAAATGTGGTGGTGTAAGGAAAAAAAAAAGTAGGAAAGGTATGAGAAAGTGAGTGGGAAGACTCTTGTCAAAAATAGATAGATAATGTAAAAGTGTGAAGACCTTCCAAGAACGGACTAAAACAGAGAAGTTTCAGGAACGGAGGTAGTACATGTCAAGCACAAAAATCCATATATGTCCAATGAAAAGACGAAAGTTTATCACAACCCAAAAATAAAATAAAAAAGAAAAAAAGAAGAAGAAAGAAAGACCAATAAGTATTCATGAAGAAAATAATAACACAAAGACAGAGGATATAATTGCAAACCTGATGGTCAACGTAAGCATGACCTCTTCTTATAAGTTCAACAGCTAGTTCATAGAGATCTTGAAAATAGTCACTGGTATAAGTTTTCTGCAAAGTTTCAAGCAGGAGGGTAAGATTCCTAGTCTTGCTGGTTTGCTCTGTAAGGAAAGCAACTGTATCGTTTGTGTGGTCAGAATACTTTACCTTGAACGGCTCCCATCCCATCCACTTGACTATCTCTTCAATATGATCAATATACTCTTTCTTTTCAGCCTCAGGATTTGTATCGTCATACCTATAGTACACCTTAGGTATATCAGAGCTCACAAAACTAAGTCTAATAATCCCAAAAATCAAGCTTTTCTCAGAACCCATAAACAGTTATACAAAGTGCTCAGACTTTCCTAGTATGCTATACAGCACAAAAGAGTTATCAAGTCCATACACCTCAAATAATGAAAAGAATGATACATAAGACAAATAGCACGCATTGACAAACATGCAGCTATGAAGTACAACATACCATAAACATTGCGAGCTAAAGAAGTAAATGAAATCCATAGAAAGTTGAAAAGGGATATATTGAAAATTACTGCAGCATAGCAGATAATGAACCAAACAGATATTTTCACAAAATTATCAAGTGACAAAGTTTTCCACCTCAAATAGCAGTGTCCACCTCTATCCTTTGCCAATCCAAAATCAACAAACATTGCCTATAACAATAAGAAATTAAGAAAAAATCATTCTTTATTTAACAAAGGGTTTAAAGGTTTCAACTAAATTGACAGCTTCAAGTTGCAAGCTACCTTGGCATGACCAATGTGAAGGTACCCGTTCGGCTCAGGTGGGAAACGGGTAAGAACTTTTCCCCCGGTTACTTTTAAGTGTTTGGCAAGAACTTCCCTGGTATTGCAAGCTCTCAAAACAGAACCATCGCTAAAAAACACTTCGGTGTGCACCTGAAAACATAAGTATCACCTTATCAATTCCTTGCAGATACAGCAAGCACATTAAGGCTTGAGATCAAAGATCTTGAAAAATAAGCAGACCAACATAAAGACGGCCGTGAATGAGAAAGACAAGGTAACTACTTTAAAATGGTACAATGTCACACAAAGGAAAAGAAAATCCTTGGTATTTTCTCCAAAAGAAGCTATGTTTTCATAGCTCTTTTTACTTCACTTAGCACAGTCATTTGCTTGGAAAAAGTCCATGCATTTGACTTAACTGAACCAATCAATAAATAAATTTTAAAAGTTTAACATTTTCTGTTAATATTAATAATTAATAAAAATGAATCACTAATGAAAACAGTTAAAATTCAGCACTATAGATAAACTCTAGGCTTAAAATGCTATCAGGTAGATATTCTTATGCATAGAAACTTTGAATAGGTAATAAGAAAAATTCTTTATGGCATGCACATAAGCCCCTTCAAATACTACACATTGAAACATAATAAGTAGGGAAGATACTGTATCATCACTTGCGCATAAATGAAACACAAAATTACTTAAATTTATAACAATAACATAGTAAAAGAGCAATGCATATTAAATACTCCAAAAACACCTTAAGATTTTCTTCCGGAGATGGAAAGATAGAAAATGGGTTAAGTTCTTCTTCAGATGGCGGAGCTGCAGCAGCAACGACAGCTTTTTCCTATACAAGACACAAGAGCAGGGTAAGGCAGCACAGTAAAATTAGAAAAGAAAAAGGAAAGAAAAAAAAGACCTATATCTCTCAGAAAACCAACCTCAGCTTTTGCAGGCTTTTCCTTCTTCTTTTTTACTGGCTTTTCATCATCTGCTGCAGTCCTTTCACCAAGTAACTCACGAAGCTTTGTATCTACCACTTGCTGCAACATATGAAACCATGATTGATAAAATAAATATTAAAAAAAACATATATATAATTCACTCATTTATGTATATATATATATATATATATATATATATATATATATATATATATATATACATATATATATATATATATATATATGTCAATATTCATATTAAGTTCAAAAATACCTTGACAATCTTTGGATCAGCCCATGGTTGTCTCTCTCTAACACGTCTAAACAAGTCACCAACTGAAAAAACAAAAGAATGAAGTATTATAGCTACTAGCTAACCTAACCTAACATGACATGACTTAGTCAAAGAAGATTGTTTGACAAAATGGTTTTTTTTAAGAAACTTATACACAAAACTGACTACTACAACAGTCCCAAATAAATGCAAGAAGCCAAGCATTACTTGAATAATACTCATTATCCCTATCGATTCCTAACACAGGAATTCTTAACACTTACATATTATACATTTAGCAAATGAGTATATTAACCATAACATCGTTACAAAATGAGATACCAACCATTTGTTTTATATCGTTGCTCCAAAATTGTTGTCTTAAGCTCTTCAAAGATTTCACCAACAGTATGCTCGATCTCTTCATTAGAAACCTCAATACCTGATCAATATATGGAGTTAATATTTAACATACATACATACCTATTATAATTATAAACCCATCTATCTGAAAAATATAAGTCAACCCATCAAGATGAGCTATTTACCAACTCCACAATTTTTCTCAAAGTCACTTAAGCTGAATTTTGCAGGACCCACACTCATGAAAAATGAGAAAGCAGCTTCTAATTGCGCAGGTGTCTTAACCTACAAAAATTCAACTGCAAAAATAAATCATTTGGGAAACAGAAGGCTTTACAAAAACATAACAGTACTAAAAATAACTTTTATATTGTAGACATCACCGTTAATTCGCTAAATAATAAACTGACAATATTATTTAAAAAATAAAGAATATTTGTGTAGCAACCATCCCACCACTATAAGTTGAACACAGGCAATAATATTTAAGATATCCAGCGCTAACCTTTGAAGAAACAACATACTCACAGAGGGTTGGCCGATGCACAAGGGCATTGGCAGGAAATTTCGTAGCAACCTGTCATTTAAATGCATGAAGAAAGGAAGAGATGATTAACATAATTATATTTCAAGCAGGTGACAGTATGACTCTAAAGATAGTAAGCAAGCCACGGGAAATTTTGACAGGAACTTTTCCCCTATATACATAAGTAAGCTCCAAAACATTTTCAATCACCGTTGAGCAAAGCAACTTTATTCAATTCAAGATACATGGAGGAAACACAGCAAAAAGCCAATCTCCGGGCAGGTTTTATTCAATAACTTGAACTATATGTCATCCTTATTTTAAAGTTAGGTGACTTACCGTGTACAGAAGATTTCCAGTAGTCCGGTCGCAACCATCTGTAACACCCGCCTGATTTCCCAGAGAGACGGTAAGAAAAAAAGACACATTGACATATGCAACGGAAACAAGTGTACAGGATATAGTTACTACCTCATGAATCACGGCCAACAGATTACTGGTAACCTTGTTGTTGGCAATTGTATTATGAGCCACTTTCTCATCTAATCCTATTTTAAGGAATAGCTCCACTGCATTATCGGAGTTCTCCCCCGTTTTTGTAGGCATCTTGATGAAACTTGGATTAAGCACTAAACCAACACAATGCCCAGAAGTAAGGTATACAGAAAATTCGGCAGCTTGGATCCGGTCTTATGCTATATTTCGCATATATGTTCTATGAATTTAAAAATTAATTTGCACCCCAACTTCCCAAAACTCAATCCTAGAACCTGAAGTACTCCATTGGCATTTGGGCCATTTGGCAACACTCTAAATCTATAATATTCACCACACTGCAATTAAAGCATGCTATTTAAGCACTATAGAATCATTAGAAAAACAAATTCAGGTATTAGAATCATTAGAAAAACAAATTCAGGTATTAGGAAAATCCCATCCTCCAAAAATATACATTAATATACCCAAAAAAAAAAAAAAAAAAAAAAAAAAAACATTTTTCATCTAACAAAATATACATCAATTCAGCAATATTCTAACATGCAAGAGGGAAATTCATGAATTCTGTAATCAATTACAGGTCTATAATAACAGCTCACTTAATGTATTAACTAGTTTTTAAGTAATTATATAAGCCTTACTTGTTGTTTTGCTTTGAAATCGAAGAATAACGGCAATTAAGCAAAAGTATAGAAGAAATAAATGGAGGGGCAAGCAATAAAAGTAGAGAAAGTGAGAGAATACAGATGAAATACCTGGGTTCAATCTCTTGAATGGAAGAGAATGGCTGTTTTGCCTGTTTTGCCTGTTTCAAGGGTTTCGCAATGAAGAGGATTGTCAGTTAACTGGTTTAATGCAAATCACATAGTGCAACCGGTCAAAAGGACTAATACTCCGAGTGGGGGTGGAATTCGGGTGTATAGGTCAGGTTTGATAAGGTCACATCAAGTTTGTTTTAAGGAAAATTTCACTTTTGTAACCATTAAAATACATGTATTTCACTTTTGTTATCTGTTTAAATTTTTATTTTATTTTACTACCACACAAAAACACCCTCGTTAAAATTTGCTATTTGTAGGAAAAGTCTGTTAGTGTAGCAGTTTGGGGCCCACTTCAACGGGTCTTTTGTCATTCTCCTCTCTTTAAATAATTGCTTCTAACCTATTTTCCCCAACGTTCTACTCTTACAGAAAAAATAAACAAAAATCAATCAATTCCCCTTTGACGAAAAACAAATTTTGCCGGAGAATTTGACAAATTCAATCAATTGCGAAGCGATTTAGCTCATATGGTGGACATTGAGTTTGAAATTTAGGGCTATTAAGGTGAGCACCTTTAATTAAGCCAATTAATTCCTTTATGTGAAACCAATTAGAAGATTAAATTGCACTTTACCTTCAAATTATTGCTGGTTAATTGTATTTCTGAGTGTTTAGGAATGATACAGAATCTAAATTTGATTATCAATTGGTTTAATTGGTAGTTAATTTAATTTAATCGAATAAGGGTTCATATCCCAATTGAAATTAGGGGTTTTCAATTGGGAAATGCATGGACGAAATTGATGGTGATGTTTGGTAAATAATGAATGTATGGATGTAATTGTTGATAAATTTGGTTGAATTACAGGCTATAATGTCATTGATTAGGTGTTCTCCCTTCAAACAGAGGAAGTGTGACTGTGGAATTCCTATGGCTAGGCTGACATCATGGACAAGAGAGAGCCCTGAAAGGAAGTTCAAAGCCTGCAAATTCTATGATCCTAAAATAGAAATTAGGGGTTGCAAGTGCTTTAAGTGGGTGGATGAGGAAGAAGGCACTGACTGGCAAAGGGATGTAATCAATCAACTTCTACTGGACAAAAAATTGCTAAAGGGAGAAATCAAGTCACTGCAAAGAGAAGTTGAAGATTTAAGTGGGCAAAGAAGGTGTTTGCTAACTGAGAATGACAACTTGCTAGTGAACTGCAAAGCTCTAAGTTCTAAGAGGAAGAAATACAACAAGCAAGGGCAACAAATCTATGTTGGTGGATGCACAGCTGTCCTAGCAATTACCATTTGTTGTGTATCTTTGATTGTACTTGTTTTAGTTGTATTCAAATGAGATTAGGGTAGTGCAAGTGGGTCAGAGGTAATGATTGTGTATTTAGATGATGTTGGTTTAAGACAACAACTTCCATATGTAAGACTTTGAATTATTATATGAATGAAAGTTGCAATGTTATTTTGTAGCAATAAAATAGTCTTCCTTTTCATAGCAGTTTAAGCACTAAAGTGCATGGAAAACATCAAAGTTAAATTCTAGTACTTAGTTGTTACAAACAATTTTTAATGCCAAATCAAAGTTCACCTAAAATAACTAGTAGCATAGTTGCAGAGTACATTAAACACATGGATAAAAGTCTAGGTACTTAAAAAACTAGTACATCCTAATTTTTTTCTTTTTCCATTTCCCTTGCTTGGTTGCTGAGTGTGTTGTTGCTGTTGTTGTTGTTGATGCCTAGGTGCTTGGGTGCAGGCTGTAGGTTCTTGGGATGGTCTCTCTTGAGGGAATTTTTTGTTAGCTATGCTCCATGGACCAGTAGTTCCACCAGTCTTTATTAAAAATAAATTTTTTAAAGAAGAAGAAGAAGAAGAATTTCCACCAGTCTTTATTAAAAATAAATTTTTTAAAGAAGAAGAAGAAGAAGAAGAAGAAGAAGAAGAAGAAGAAGAAGAAGAAGAAGAAGAAGAAGAAGAAGAAGAAGAAGAAGAAGAAGAAGAAGAAGAAGAAGAAGAAGAAGAAGAAGAAGAAGAAGTAGAAGAAGAAGAAGAAGAAGAAGAAGAAGAAGAAGAAGAAAAAGAAAAACCATCAAAATCTAACAGTTTATGCAAGTTAGAAAAACTAGGCCAGGATAATTTACATACCTTCCTAGCATCCTTTTCCTCCTTCCTCCTTCTTTGTTCCTTCATCCAATCATTTTGCAAAACTGGTTTGCATGCTTTGTTGGCCTAAGGTGGTGCTACAAGAGCTTGCATTGGTGCATTACCACAAGTGTTGGCATAATGACAAAGTTGTTCATAATTGCCATACCTCTTCTGTCTTTTCTGTGCTTTTGGTTGTCTGTCACTGCACTCAGGTGCTCCCTGTCCTCTCTCCATCTTTCTTTTCTTTGACTTTGGCCTCCCGGGCATAACTCTTACTGCTGGAGGCAGGGGCTCTTTGAGATGATGCTTCTCCCAATGCTTGGGTCCAGGCATAGGCTTCACAGCTTCCTCATATGCATACATATATGTCTTCCTTGTGTAATACACATCCACAAAGTCTTCTAGGTCCACCCTCTTGTCTAATATGCATGCAAACCCATGTACACATGGAATACCGGTTTTCTGCCAATGGTAACATGTGCAAGTCATCTTACCTAAGTCAACTAGCACTGTATCACCATTGAGCTCAACCTCATAGGAGTCTCTTCTTGAAACTTGCACTATGTAGTGCCTTGCAGCCCTCTCAATCCTCTCAAAAAGCTTAGTCACATAGGGCATCAGCTTCCCATCCATTTTCTTGGCAGCCTCCCATTTCTCATTATGCCTCTTCGTCATATACCTTCTTATCCACTCCATCTGAGTGAGTATTGGCTTGTCCCTTGCATCTCTTATAACAGCATTGAATGTCTCACAGACATTGTTCAATAGCATATTTGATTTGCAATTAGAAGAAAATGCATGCCTAGACCAGTGCTTAGCAGGAATGTTATCTAGATACACATATGCATCTTCAGACAGGAATTTTATTGATTCCATTGCCACCTCAAAGTCAACCTACCACATCAAACAAAAAATAGGAGAACAAAATCAATGTTTCATGTACCAAAACTGACCAATGTGTCCAAATTCAGCCAAAAGTAGCAAAATGAATCAAACCACTTTGAACTCAGGTGACAAGATTGACATTCAAATCAGCCCACAAGGTTGACATCAAAGATTAAGCAAGCAAACATTCAACTCAGTTTTAGCAGATTGGCATTGAACTTAGTTTAAGAAATCAATCAAAGTGTAAGCATTTCCTACATTCAACTCAAGTTTAGTGACTCACCAATGTTGTAGCCCTAGCAGCATTCCAGAAGAGCTCTTTGAAGGTTGATCCACTTAATTGAAGCTTGAAGTTGGCCCAGATATGCCTGACACAGAACCTCTTCTTAGCAAATGGGACTTGCAATTCAAAGGCTTCAAGGAGACCCTGTATTAACAATCAACACATTAGTGCATAACTACTCACATCATATTAGTTACTATATATAGTCTAATTAGGCCATATAAGCTCACCTTTTGTCTGTCAGACATGAATGTCCAACCACCACCTTCACACACATCACCAAGGTCCTTTTTCAAACACTCCAAGAACCAGCACCATGTGTCCTTATTCATTCTCCACTTCAACTGTATCCCAAGCAATTTGATATATGTTATTGTTTCCATCTTTTCCAACAGCCACAAGTATTTGTCCTAGGTAGGCTCCCTTTAGATGACAACCATCAACACCTATCAGAGGTCTGCATCCTTTTATGAAACCACTTCTCAATGGTTGAAGACAAATGTACATCCTCATAATAAGTGGTGGTTCAGGGCTGCTTTTTTCCCCTTCTACCACTATGCACACCCAGAGCAAGGACTGTACTTAATTACAGCTTTTCCATAATCCCAAACCCTGGCATATTGCTCTACAACTGACCCATAAATCACCAGCTTTTCCCTAACTCTAGCAAGCCAAGCTTTGGAATACCCCACTGTTATGCCCAAGTCACTCAACACCCTAGCCCTAAAACTTTCTATCTTCCAACTTGGGTTGTGCCTCCATTCCTCAACATACTTCTCAACAAGATACTCAGCATTATTCTCCATTGAATTCATCTTACTCCTCATACACCTATGCTTTAGCCTCAAATCTTTGATTTGCCAAGCATAACTGTTGTACAATCTTTTAGCAGCCACCTTAAAATTGCACTTTTTAACCTTATCACTACACTTGCAGCTCCCTGACACTTTGCTTCTTTTGGAATTTCACTCACACCTACACCTTCTCTTACAGAATGTGGTTATCTTATCACCACCATTGTGCAGATAGTAATACTCATATTTGTTCTCTATTGCATGTGTCCTCAAGGCTTTCCTTAAAATAGTGTTGTTGGTGAACTACAACTTGTTCACTAGCACAACTGCTTTTTTGAAATCAGTTTCTTCATGAAACTAGGGACTATCATCTTCTTCCTCATCTGACCCATGTAAACTTCTAAGCTCATCTAATTCATAACCTTCATCATGCACTTCCACTTCCTTACAACCAATGTCCTTAATTAGTTGTTTCAGTTTCTCCTCCCTTTCCACAACTACACCCTCTAAAGTTCCAGCCCTATGTCTCACAACCTCCAAGCTACATTCTACTGCAGTTAAGATGCCTTCTCTAGTTTGCCTATGCCACTCATCATCAACACTGTTTGCCTAATCTTCCCTAGGCTCCCAATCAATTTCTAGATCAGTTGCATCTGAGCTTGATGACCTAGAATCTGATTCATCCTCTTCTTCCAACTGCAGAACCCTCCTTGCTTTACTTCTCCTAGTTCCCTTCCCTTTACCCCTGTGCAGCCTCACATCAGCATCATCACCTTTTTCAATCAACTTACCCTTCCCCTTATCAACAAATCTTGGGCTCCTTCTCACAACAAGTTGATCAGTTTTTTGTGAATTTTCATGGGTTTGAGGTGGGCTAGAAGTCACAAAGCAGTGTTGTCTTTGGGGTGGATGTGTTTGAGTTGGGTTGGATACAGTTTGAGTATGGCCTGACACTTGTGGAGTTAATTTGGATGCAGTTTGCTGTGAACTGGAATCATGTGGGTTTGAGGTTGGGTAATTATCTG